ATAATAGAACCAATTAAAACAACCACCAAGAGACGAAATTCGACCTCAGTCCACCATACATTTATGTAATAGGTATATTATAACATTGTGTATTTTGTGGTAACCTCGTTTATGGGTACTCTATGCCCGTTTGAGTGCTTGACATAGGCGCAATTTCAGTTTTTAACTTGGAGTGGCTTAACATATTTAAATGAAACAAACCCGAGGGGGGCTCTGCCCTCTCCCCCCCATTCACTACCGATATAGCGATATCATATTTTTCTCACCCACTTTCTTACATTTAATATATTATAATGCATTTATTAATAAAACTAAAAATATTTTTATGAAAAAAATAACAAAATTTAGGTAAATAAATGTAATATATTATATTTTTTTATTAAGTATATTATTATAATTGGAACCTTCGGTTAGAAATTGCAAATTTATTTAATATTTTTTCGTTAGACAATTCATTCGATAAATCTCGTTCTATATAAATTAATGACAAATCTGTAAATCTATCTTGATTTATAGATGTTCGAAGCCAATTTTTAATCTTTTTCATTGCTGAAAATAATCTTTCACATGTTGCAGAGCTAATTGGAATTGTTAAAGATAATGATAACAGTTTATATAAATTAGAATAAAGCTCTACATCCATGATTGATTTGATATCTTCCAAAGTGAAACTGAGGATTCTACGGGTCTTACAGTTTTTTACCACAAGCATTTCTGATATAAGTGTATTTAAATCCACGTTTAATAGGTCCTAAAAATTAAATCATAAAAATTGATTGATTTCGTTTGCTGTATTATGTAGATTAGATAACTAATGAAGGATTTAATACTTTAATTTAAATATAAATTTTTGGAGGGGCTAATTTTAATATTTGAGGGGCTAAGTCCCTACAAGTCCCCCCCCAAATTGCGCCTATGGTGCTTGGTGAATCTGTCCACGACTACTAGATGACACACGTGCGTTATTCATTAGAGCTAGTTGTAGAAAATTTATCAAAGTTTTACATACATCGTTTTGGCAAGAAACTAACAAATCATTTAGGCGAATTTTTAAAAATAAAAAATACTTTTTTTTAATAAAATTATTATTTTAGTACATAAGCATACTGATATTCGACAAAAGAAGAAAGTATGATAAAACGGAAATTATAATAGTATTCGGTATTATATTCTTAATAAAAGATACTTTAATCGTATTATATGGCTTAGTAATAAATAAAAACTAAAGAATAAAAATAATTAGATAAAGCCTTTATTATAGAGCCATTTTATAAAAGTTTGACAAAATTCTAAAATTAACATAATACAATATATGATTAATGATGGATCGAACATATTTTTCCATAGACTGCGAGTAAAGGTGGCTCGTCAGGGAAGATTTTGAGCCTAAAAAATCTCCCCTTAAAAAAACACAGCTACTTGTAAATAATAACTATTTAAAAATAAAAATATATAGAAATATTTTTATTTTAATTGAAAATATGTATTATAGTTTTTTTATTTATTATTAGAAATTGAAAGCCACAAAATCTAAAAACCTACAGTTTTTTTTTTTTTTTAATTTTCCTTTGTTCGCATATTACAGCAAAGCGAAAACCTATAGTTATTTCGTTAGATTTTCTTAAACGTAGGTTAGAAGCTTTGAAAAGAAATAATTTTTTTGTGGCTTTTCAAAGACTGTCGTATTTTGAGGATATATTAGTGAGATTGTTAACCAGCGTTAAATCTTTATGTTTGGCGATAATTTTTCAAAAAATTTGCTAGGTGGTTGTAATTTTTTTTATGTGATGGCAGGCGTACACGTTGATAAAAGGCTCTAGCTCAACGTTTTTCAGCTATATTTTTTCTTATCATTATTGGAAGTGGGTTTAATATATGAGTGGTGGTGGACCAGGCTACAGATTGTATACTATTAGTAAGATCGTTAAAAACAGAATCAAAATCATCATGTGTTTTTTGATTTGTTTTTTAATTTAATTTTTCACAATGGCAACGTGATATATTTATTACATGTAATCCAGCGTCAATCGGTGCACTATTTTCTCCGTTTAATATTCCCATCGTTAATAGAAATATAAAAACATATGGTCATCGTAATGTAATACAATGCTCGTAGACCGACTCGTTCTGCAGCCTTGTCCGTTTCCAAGTTTCGAAGGCACGCGTGCCGGCACATTATCGCGTACCTACAACAAGAGACGTATTCGTCCTTCGATATAGGTTGAATAAAATATCAAATAAATGGGGTGCGCCGTACACATATTGTTGTATTATATAACACGGGCGCCGCCAAACGAATCATTTGATAATGATTAAAAACGCATTGAATTGTCGTCAACCCGAGATGCAGCTGAACCGGGGGCGATCGCGATCGGTGCAACACGATTGCGTTCGACCATTTACATATATATATATATATATATATATATATATTCTAACAATTTTCTAGTACACTATTTAAAAATACAGTCCGACTTGATTTTCCTCGGACTTGATTTCCCAATACGTACTAACCGGGTAATCGAGATAATGTTTATTGTTAATTTATCTTATCCGTAGACTGTACATATCAGTATGCGTCAATGACAGTGTCATGATCGGATTTTACATAATATATAACATAATAACAACATTATATTTGTGTATTATAATCATACCGCGTTCGTCAATCATGGCAATGTTCGGCACAGATAACTTGAAATTTATCTAGATAAAGATTAAATATAGTGTATTGTACTGTTATATTTCTGTGAATATTGTACTTTGTTATGATGAATATTCCACTATAAATACAATTTTAAAATTAACAATATTTGAAACATATAATCCTCTCTATAATTGATCCGGGAGTCAGAATTAATAATTCCTATGTCACTTATATGTATAGGGGGTGGACTGACTAGGGAGGCAAAAGGGCGATCGTCTCCAGGGCGCTCGATAGTGCCATATTAATTAGCCGTATACAAAATGTAATATTAAAATATTATGGTACAACACCAATCATTTACTATCAGAATATCCGAATTTGGATGTATTGAGTACAATTAAATAAAAATATATTTATTAATTAAAATTTAATATTAGTAGGTCCAATTGACCCCCTCCTCCCTCGATATCTAGTCCGCCTATGTATGTGTATACTTATGTATATTTTATAGAAATAGATACTTATGCACAATGACATTACGCAATGGCTAATAGTATCTTGTGTGCGGTGTGTCTGAGTGCCTACTGAGTATGATTATGTTTAACTAAAACTAATTAAGAAATAAAGATAATTAGCTAAAGGATGAATTTAATGTAAATTATTTTCTGTCTTACAGTAAACTTATTGGTTATTAATAATAATAACTTATTATAGATTAAACTACAATGGTTATTAATTATTTGAATAATGCGATTAAAAAAGAATTACTAAAAATTAGTTTATCTAGATCAATTCGTTTAGATAACACTTTTATTTATCTATGATAATACAACTGATAATTAATTATTTCTTCTTCTAGATAAGATAATAGATTTTTAATTATTTATCTAAATAATGTCCTACACGATTTGTGTGTCGTAACATTCGTGCGCTTTACATGCCACCGTAATAATAATTATAACAATAAGAATGATTTTTCGTCCGCGCGTTCCTATATCCACCACGCTAAGTGATTTTCACGCGAGTCCGCGATATTGTAACATTATGACGAGTGCATATTTAACATGCGTAAAACCGCACGTGTAGTTGGCCGCGTCCGAATTAGATCTAAAAATGAACTAGTAGTTCCGTACTAGTTTGGTCCCGATCTACTTTGGTCAGGCACCTGCTTATTGCTATTACACCAGAAAGATTCCAGAAGTCAGGTGCATAGCCAGAGGTGTGTTACAGATGTAGTAACACCCCCTCTTCCCTTGACCGTGTTACACTTAAGTCTTGTAAAGGTTTCATTAACCGTGATGAACACATATTTATCATAATGAAATATATTCATACTACGATAGCAATAATGTAAAGCTGGGATCGGGCTTCTCATTACACCGTTCTGTCTGATGAACTAAAGTCGTGATTTTGTGTCGTTTCATGCGCGACTTAAAATGTATATTTGAAATTTTAATTAAATATTTAAATATTTTCTCATACATTAATACATTACTCATGAATATAACATATTACATATTACTTATTTAACATATTAGTACATACTCCTATTAACAACATATTATAACATATATTATTAATTACATATTCATGTGTAATGTATACAAGCACCCCCTTTTGAAATACCTAGCTACGCGCCTGCCAGAAATATTACACTACACTGATGGTTTTGTTCTCATTTTAACAGACTTTGAACCCAGGGGCGCCATTTAGGGGAGCAGGGTGTGCACTCGCATACCCTGAATTTTTTTCATCTTCAATTATTGGCCTAGGCGTCACTGATACATGGCCTTGCCACTTTGGCCTTCAGTTTTCTAATTTTTAATGTTGTGCATGCACTGTGGCTGATCAGTAATCACTGCTAATCATAAATTTTGGCCTGGTGGTAGGAAAAAATTGGCCTCTTTAATTGCTTGCACCCCCTTAAAAAAAACTGAAATGGCGCCCCTGTTTGAACCGTCTATTTATGATTCACCAACAACTCGGTTACGATTTAATACATTGTCAATGAGAATCACAATTTCCTGCGAATCATTTTTATTGTGAATTAATTTCAAACGAATTCCAATTGTTTATGGTTTTATAATCACAGGAAAAAAACATTTTTAATCAAACCTGAGATTAACAATTAATCGTAGCTAGTCCGAGGGCTGTTAAAATTGAAAACAAAACGTTACGTTAGTGTAGTGCTTACCGAAAAACATCAGAGACAAAACTAGTTCAGTACCTAAAACAGTCCAGAACCCTCCTACTAATATAGTACTTGGAATAATCCCGGGTCCAAATCAGAGAAGCACCTGTGTAATTAATATTTTTATTTTTATTATTTTACCGTTTTACCAATGATATTCAGATTGGCGAATTGGAAGCCGCAGAGGAAGCGCTGAACGAAGCCAACCTTATGGACGTTAAGAACGAGGAAGTGTGGGCATACCTGACGATTGTAAACATCAGAATGGGAAACGCCGATGAAGCGAAAGTCTGCTACACGCAAGCCCTAGAGGTTACTGTTGTCTACATGTAAATGTATAAGCGCGCGCGTTTTGATATTCACGGTTTAATGACTGTGATAACGTTTTGTAATCGGGTCCGTGCGCGCATTATTTTTAACTCAAAAAACACCAATGTAAAACGTTCGTAAAATTAATTTTTCCTCCATTGCCACAGAAAACTATCCACTGTTGAATCGAGTGTACGGATGTATAATTTTTTTTTTATTTATTATAACGGACTACTCATACGCAATAAAATTCCTATTGTCCTTAAATACATATCAACAACGCTATTATTTATATGTATTAATATATTCATTTGGATATGCCTCGTTGCAGGTAAACTTAAAGTGATGTACTCCCGAAAGAATTTGAAACAGATAAAGCTCCTGTTTTTGGTTAATCAAACGTTAAAAAACATATTTTTCGTTCCCTACCCCAACATAAGAACTTGAAATTAGGGGTGACCAAAAATGGAATTAATCGTCTTACGAGCAACAAAAATAATGTGTTAAAAAATTACCAACTTATCTTAGTTCTGCGTACAATCAGAGCTTGAATTGGGAAAAATTAAGTAAAGGAGCTCAGTCCAACGATTCGAAAACTGTGTTCCACGTGCGCAATCATTTTCGCTTCGTTTCTCACCCCTACCCTCCGCCAACCATACATATATTTTGAATACCACATTTCAGCTACACAAATATTTTAATTCCAAATATAATATATTTTGATAGCAATACCAACACCATACGTAAAATTCGTTTTCAAATTGACGTAAATTGAAATTCACATAAAAATTATTTTGGCCATCAATTAGGATGAACGTGGCGTCCCCCCGTTCCGGTGAAAAATATAGTTAGGGTACGTAAAAAAAAAAAAATAGTAGAGGAGCTTCATCCCCCTGCGCAACCCCCCCCCCCAATTCGAGCACTGCGTACAACCGTACTAAACAGTACAAATCACAACATTCCTACAAAATATTAATTCATTGAGTAGGTACATATAGGCAAACCATCTGTACACTATCCAGCCATTACCAAGTGCTTTCAATTGTATCTTCCTATATATCACTTTATCAAAAATGTTTAATTTATCAATCGATTACTGTAAGCTGTTTCTAAACATAACACAAGAATTACATATTTATTGTGCCATAATATATTGATATATTTTTTTTTAAATGTGCAAATGCAATGGTCAGTGAATTTACTAGAAACCTATGAGATATAAGAAGAAGAAAAATAATAATAAGAATATTCTTGGAGAAGTTTACACGTGTTTTTTTTTTTAATGGTTTGTTTGGATAGTGAATGGTTTCTAACTCCCTATGTAGTATTAATAAGACAAATATATGTGGGATATAAATTATAGGTACGTTTTAAAACCTAAATAATTTTTAACCTGGGTGGTAGATCAGCGTAAATAAGGATGGTGTGTTAGACAAAAAATGTTAGCCTAACGGTTTTTCAAGTTTATTGCCTAAACAATTGCATGCACGTGTTTATCATATTTTTTTTATTTAGACATGAGTTGCCTTATTTAAACCTCCTTTCATCCATCTTAAAGTAATCCAATTATGCTTACTGCACTTCTAAATATTAACAACTACACGGCCAAATTAAAGTAATATTATAGGGGAGACTTGGGTAAGTTGACGACATTATGATTTAATCACTTTTAAATAGTTCAATTTAAAAGATGGAACCAAGTTTATAATTTTCACTATATCTGCTAAGATATTCATAGATTATATAGAAAAAAAATCTTGTAATTTTAATTATATATCATTTTTTTTTTTTTAGTTTTTTTTTTAAATTCGCCATCTTGCCCAGAAAATGGGGTACCTAAGTTGATATTACCTTGGGGTAAGTTGACATAAACAAAGCAGAAGAAAGATATTTAGAAAGCTTCGAAATGTGGTGCTGGCGGAGGATATCAAGAGTCGGCTGGACTGTTTCGTACCAATGACATTATACTCAGTGAAATAGGTGAACTTAGAGGATTATTAAGATCAATCAAAAAAAAGAAGATGGAGACTCATTGGACACACTTTAAGACATGAGGAGGAACTAAACCACAGAATATTGGAAGGACAAATAGAAGGCAAGAAAGGCAAAGGATATCCTAGAACAACGTTAGTCAAAAGAATTATTAAAGATGCCGGATTGAGAACCTAGAAAGAACTGAAGAGAATGGCTAGTAACAGAGAGGGAGCAAGGTAGAATGCTGTAAAACCAACCTTAGGGTTGATTACTAAAGAAGAAGAAGTTGACATCATGTCACGTCGTCAATTTATCCCAGCCATCTTACCCAGAAAGATAATATTTGACACTAACAAATTTTAAAAAATGCTAAATTACGGTAGCTTAATAAACTTTACATAAAAATAATCTATAGAACATTTACTACTTAACAAAGAAAACAGAAAAATACATTCTTATATACCAAGATCCAATAGTTCTTAAGACAAAGTGAAAAAACCATTTGACGGAATTAATGGTTAGGTTCACAAAACTGATAACAGAAAATCATGATTTTATCATAGGAACCGCAAACAAGAAATATTAGATGTTGGAATAACTGTTGTACCTTGTGGAACAATTGTAATTTTTGAACAAAGTCGTAATGAATTATTAACGATTCATCAACTTATCTAGATCTCCCCTAGTACTATTCCCACTTACAGGGCCGCCTTAGACTATATAGGGGCCCATTAGGGTACTCGGAACTTAAGGACTGTTTTAGTAGGCCAAAAATAAACTACGTGCCCATAAGATAAAGACGGGACTGAATACTCATTATATACATTAACGTATGTTAGGTTAATACGAGTAGAAGTCAAATAAGTTAAATTTGATGATGTGAAGTTGAAGCTACAAAATAACTCCAGTGGCCCAATAGGTAATCAACTATTATTATCTCATCAAGCCGTGTACTCTCCAAGTGTATTAATTAGATGTTTGAAATATTTCAACACTAGTCACTAGAAGTTCCGTATAGTTAAAATAAAAAAATTATTTGATATGTTGTATAATTAGTTCGGGAACAGTATAATGTATTATCGAGAAAACCGGAAACATGTAAATTTTCTACGATGGTGAGGAGGAATGTCCTAGATTTTTATTTTTTATAAACAACTACTTAAAAATCCAAATTCCAGTACCACGCATATTATTAAATATATTAAGAGGTACCTATATTAAATTAATTGTCAGTAGAAAATAACTGGAAGCCACAATAGTGGTATAGAATGACACACGCCATGAGTTCACGAATTATTTTTTTTCAGATTCGTAGAAAACCCTAATTTTGTTACGCCTAAAAATTGGTTACTATCTTAAAAAATAAATAATATACAGGTAGATAGTGATAAATGAATTTATCCAACTATCAAATATAAAATACTTACATTTACCCTAAGTCAGGGATGAAATCAGGAAAAAAAAATTGGGCGGAGGGGGAGGTTTGAAAATATGTAAAATGTTAATAAATAACATGCTTTATTACTCCTTATAGTATAATATCAATATATTTAATTCAAGCCTCATGAGAAACTTTGAAATAGCTAGGTATTAAATTTGTAGATTAGGTCAATTTTTTATCAACTTTTTTCTGATATAACGAGGAGAGTTAGTAGTGTACGTTAGAGGAGTGTCAAGGAGATAAAGCACCCTCCACCTCTCATAAATAGTTTAAAATATCTTTTCCAATTATAAAACGATGACTAAAAAAAATGATATTTTCTTGATAAAACATCACCATTACTAATAAACATTAATTTACATAGGTATATGATTAAATGACAAAAACATAGATCAAATTATTCTACAAGTGACCATAAACATTTTTTTTATTTATTTATTAAATTCTTTCCATTTGTGGGCAACTTAGTTCAACAGTTAAAAAAAACGATTTTTGAACAATAAAAATAATAAATCTGACTTTTGTTTTCTAATTTTGAGTGAAACTTAACCAAGATATCAAAGATTTAAGTGAATTTTATTCAGATGATATTGATCAAAAAGTTTTTGAAGTAAAAGTAAAGCTTTGACATTAACATTTGCAAAAACTAAGTTACTGAAAGTGTTCCTCTTACAATGTCTGAACAAAAAATAAGTTCTTCCACATAAAAAAGAATTTAGGTTTAGTAGTTCTAAATATTTATCGTAAAGTCGATATTGAAGTTGAAATTGAGGAAGTTATTAAAATATTGCAAAACAAAACCGTCATACTAAATTTATTTTATAATTATGTATACTATATTTATTTTATGATTATACATATACCTGCCTTAATGTTTTCTCTTATTTCATTATATTCACTTTATTTTTATAGATTACATTATTATAACAGTGGGAAGAGAGTTTTAGTGATGATCAAAAAAAAAAAAAAAAGGTCATAATTCATGTTTATTATGACACCCCTTTTGAAAAAAAAATCCTTTGTATACCATTGGGGGAGGTGTTTGAACCCCTAAAATCACTTCTTTGTGTTCACACCTGTCCTATGTTAAATATTCCGTTAGTGATTAACGGCAATTTAAATGTTAAACATATGTAATAATTTAATAAAATATTAAAATGCGACATTGGACTTGAAAATGAAGTTTAATAATTATTAATTTTACAATTTTACAATAAATCATTATTACATTTATTTTATGTTGGAATTTTTTTTTCGAATTAATTATTTTAATTAACTTGTCCCTCTTTGATTATATCTATATGATTTTATACCATTTGTAAAAATATTAAATAAATCTATAATAAAAAAGCACAGAGGAGGAGTGGGAGGCGATCACTTCTCTCATAAATCCTTCCCAGATTTACATAGAGGGATATTTGTTAACCTTTGATCAAGTCCATAGTCAAACCTTTGAAAGAGAAAATCTCTATTTTAAGCATATGGTGATGGAAATTCTAGAGGTTTTTTTATTACAGACATTGACATATTGGCTACAAATAAGCAGTGAGAACTGACCTAGTCAAAATTTAGCAGTGTAACTACATAAAAATTAAAAAGTTAATAAAAACAAAATAAAAATTATCAAGTACTTACCAAAAAATGGATATTCATTTGAAATCATGAGAGAAATAAAATATGTTGTTAGTAAATTAAGGGAAAATACATTTTATCTCAGTACTATTATAATTTTTAGTTTTAATATAAGTATTTATTTCACAGAAAAATAAATACTATTATACTTGATTAATCATTATTTTAGTTTATATTAATGATAATTTAGATAAGATATTCAGTAATAAATACCTACCTATTTATTATTTATCATACATATAACTATATGACAAGATATCATGATTTTAAAAATAAAAAATTGTTGATAAAATAAAATTAGTAATCATAACATTTTAGTTTGGTTTTTATTGAATTTGAACTTGGATGATTTAACATTTTGTAGAATGACTATAAATAATTATAAATATATCTATACAAATTAAAATTACTTTTAGTTAGATGTGACTGAAAATTAATACAATAAAATTACATCTTAACTAACCTTAAAGTTCACAATATAAATTACATATATTTTTAAGAGGTTCCATGATAAATTATAGTTTAAAATGTATTATTTTATTTTACAGTATGGACTAAAACAAGAAATGAAAAAGGAAATCAACACATTGTTAAAAAGAAGACACTTAAATATTTAAAAAACAAATTAACTAATATTTTATAGTAACATTTTTTCTTCATATAATTCATACTATGTATTTTTTATTTCTTATAATAATAATATAAAAAATATAAATGGTAGAGCCGGAAATTTTATTGAGATTTAAATTATTGTACAATATTTTAATCCAAAATAAATATTCCAAACCTTTTTCAAAATTTTAATCTATTTGATAAGTATATTCTATACCTTTTACTATCAAAAAATATGGAAAACTTTTTTCAAGCTATTTTACTTATTGGAATATTAACATGTAGTAATTAATCTTTTAGATAAATACAATACACAATTTCAATAAATCTAACACATTATTATTAAAAACATAAAATATATAAAGATCTTTTGTATTTGTATTAAGTTTTAAAATACTAAATACATAAATTACATGAAATAGTAGTATTGTATCTTACTATAGTTTTGAATTTAAGTTAATTGTTAAGATATTAATTTATTATTGGAACAATAATATATCATATAACAAATGGGAATGAAAAACAAAAAATAAGTCCAAAAGTGTACGACTACATTAATATTAGTAAATTTAACATAAATTAACCAACTAAAAACCCAACTCCCATTCTTAACTGATGCTTGGCAGGAGAAAACATTGTACTCAATGCAAATGTAAATGGCATTGGATGGAGACGCTTTTCTAATGTAGTGCTCACATTCCACTTCCTATCTATGCTTCCTAAAAAGTAAAAAAGATAAATACAATTTAAAATTAAAAGGGTATATTTATAGGTATATATTAATGGATTTTGGAACTTTATTTTAAAAATGAATTATTAAATACTATTAATGAATAACTACAATTGCTGCAAACTTTGCAAGTTTTCTAAAAATTTGACAGTTAATTTTATTTTTTATTTTAAACTAACCAAAAGATGACTAAAATAGGTTCACAAATGTATAGGATTCGTACATTATTACATACAAAACCAGTTCTTAATAAAATAGAAAAATATTTACAGAAATATAATATAAAACAATAATTGTTAGTACCTTTAATGTTGATATCAGATTTGGGTATTTGTGCTTGGTACGCAAATGTTGCATTAATATCTCGTTGTATAAGACTACCTTCAAGATCTATACCAAATTGAAGTTGTTCACTAGCTTTATAATGATAACAACATTGTAATCCTGTAAAATTTAATGTAGAACTGATTGTGGTAGCATCATCATCTGAAAATTATAATAATAAAACATTTGTATTGATAGACTTCAGTATAAATAATTGATAGGAAAAAAAAATTGAAGAATATATTATTATTTACATATATATCGTCCTAAGATATTAAAAACTGTTACATGTCCATTTGGAATTTGTGGAGAACGTTGATGAATAAGTTCAACACCTATTGATGTTCTATTATTCAAAGCATATAAAAACTGGGATATATAAATTCCAGTAAAATTGAATAAATCAGGATTTACTAGGCTCAATGTAGCTGTATATCTATCTGCTTTATACTCGGTCGTGGTTTGAATACCAGTCGTTTTGAACTCTTGAAACTATTATTAAAAGGTATTATATATTTTCAATAAATTAGATTTAGTTTGATAATTACTTGAGTATTCAGTTTGACTTTAATTTTATCCCAGGGTTGTACATTAACATTAGTCGAAATGTTTCCACGTGGATCAATATCACCCATTAAAAGAGGGCTGTAGTCTCCGGGACCTATCTGATTGGTACCTACAAATGTTGATCCAAATTTGTAGTTTGACGTTTGACTAGTTGATCCAATAAGTAGACTGTGACTAACGAAAAAATGATTGCTCAGCCCTTTATTAATAACGAGTCGGATGCCTTCAAATGTCATAGGAAACAATTCTACAACAAAATGAACACATTAGTAAGAATAAGTAGATAAAAGCATTACAACATGTTATATGTACCTTTGCATTTCCTGTGTAACTCCTCTACTGATCCAGGATTTTCAATGCGCTCTTCTGGAGGCAATTTTTGTGGTGTTGAAGGTGGAGGAACCGTTGTTAAATTCGGAGGCATAGGTGGTAAACTGGAAGAAGCTTGTACGTTACCCATGGCGTAAATGTACTATGTAATAAGGTTAGTATGTAGTGTAGTAGTATGTTAGTAAGGGTTAGTTAATCCTATTCCAGTTAAGCGTACTGAAATGATAATTTGAAATTTAACTCTGCAAAAATGTAAAAAGTCAGGAATTGATTTCCACGCTGTTTTTATAAGGAAAGAATTTCACCGACAATTGATAACCAAAATCGATAATTTCAGTTCACTGATACGAGCCATGGAAGACAAATCAATAGGGTTGAAACATATTCATATTTTTTCCTCAAATGTCAGCACTGTGAATATTCAAAATGTGTGAAAAGACTATGAAATTTCATTGACAATATTATAA